CCGGCACATCGATCCGGAGAGCTCGAGCACATGGAAACCGCCCCGGCCGTGCCAGCGCCGGGCTCGCGGCGGGGCCGGGCACAGGGACGGAGGGACCCCGTGTGGTGACAGTGACCGGGACGGGTGGCTGGGGGGTGGCACCCCGGTGAGCCCCCTCCCACCCCGCCTCTGCAGCACACAGCTCTGGGGGGAGGAACCCAGCCCCTGCGGGCTCTCGTACCCTTGTGCCCTTTCCCGGGGGTCTCCTCCCGGACCCGCTGGGCTCTGCCTACCTCACTCCCCTCAACCTCGGTCTCCCTGGATGTTCGGCTGGGAGCGGAGATACCTGGAGCAGGGGGAGGGGTTTGCCCATGCCCATTTGTGTGCCGGGGTGGGGGGCTTTCCAGCCCCCCTGCCCGCCGGTGCCCAGCTCTGCGAACGGCAGATCCCAAATATTGTGAACCCCCATCAATCTTCCCGCGACCCTGCCGATAAATATTTGCGCGGGGGCCGGCGGGGCGGCGGTGCCCGGGGAAACGCCTGCCCCCCTCCATCTGGAGGAGCTGAGCAGACGCTTGGCACGGCCGGCCTGGCACGGCCACAGCGCGCCTGGGACGAGAGCCCTGGCACGGGCTCCCCGGCAGATTGGTGCCATCTGCCTCGCGCCGCAGCCAGCGGCGAGGCTGGTGGGGGGAGATAAGGGGCTGCCAGGCGGTGGGAGACGCAGATGCTGGCATGGCGTGGGGGTCCCTGCCCCCCTCCCCGCGTGCTTTATGCTGGCGGCGGCGTGGCCAGGGCTGCCAGGAGCTGGATGCCACCTTGGGGCCAGCCGCCTGCTTGCCCTGGGCACCCATCTGCTCCCACCCCGCTCGGCCCGGGGGGGCTCAGCCACCGGGCGCTGCCAGTGGAAGCTCAGTCAGGAGCCTCGACCCCCTGCCCTGCTGAGCACGGCGGCTGGGGGGGGGCCCAGAGCACCCCAAAGGCTGTGAGGGGTCGGCACTGACCCTGTCCTGCCTCCTGCCCACGGCTGGGGTGGGAATGGGGGCCAGGGATGCCAGGGAGCAAGATGGCGATGCAAGGACAGCGGGAATGGGGATGAAGGGATGGGGATACAGGGATGGAGGCACAATGGTGAGGGCACAGGGAGGGGGTCCGTGGAGCTGGGGAGCACCGAGGGGAGGGTGCAGGGGGAGGGGCACTGTCCCCCCCAGACTGGCTGCTGCTTTCAGGAGCTTCTGGAAGGAATCTCTCCGTAATGCTCCCAAGGTCCTGGCACCATCGGCTGGGGAGATTGATTACCATTTTACTGCAATGCTTTTGACTTTCACCAGCGACCTCCGAGCTCCCCCCCAGCCCCCCCCCCCACCGCTGCACACCCAGCTCTGGGCTGCAGCGCCGTCCCCTCCCCCACTGCGGTGTGCACAGCCCAGCCCTCACCCAGCCCCGCACCCATCCCGCACCCATCCTGCTCCCATCCCGCATCCAGCCCTGCTCCCACCCTGCATCCATCCTGCATCCAGCCCTGCTCCCATCCTGCATCCATCCTGCACCGAGTTCTGCTCACATCCAACACTCATCTTGCATCAAACCCTGCTCCTATCCCGCACCCATCCCGATCCCATCCTGCCTGGAGGTGCCGGGGGTGCAGCGCTGGGCGCAGGATGGGTGCGAGATGTGCTGGGGCCGGTGCTGCTCTGGGGAGTGGACCCAGGCAGCCGGCACCCCCTGCACCCCACGGCGACCCCCGGGACCAGCAGGGTGGGATGGGGTCTCCCACCAGCCCGGCACTGCTCGTGCCTCAGTTTCCCCATCCGGGGGCAGGGAAATCCGAGCGGCGCTTCCCGGCAGACGGAGGGGGGGCAGAGCCGAGGGGCAGAGCTCGCCCTTGGCATCGGTCCGGGTGGGCCGGCCGGGCGCTCGGCACCCCCGAGGATGCCTCAGACGGCGGGAGGGGAGCGCAGGGCCGGGGGCTCCTCCATCCTCCCCCCTCTCCGGCGTTGCCAGAGCAGCGGCTGGGAAATTGTGCTGACACCGGCAAAACCGGGCGGCGGGGGCGGGGGAGCGCGGGCGCACGTGCTCGGGCTGATAACGGGGGGCCGCGGGGGCTGCGGGGAGCCCGGGCTGCCCGGCCGGGGGGCCCTGCGCGGGCCAGACCCTCCCCTTTGGGTCTGGGGATGCTGCGGGAGGCTGGGGGGAGCGGGTAGGCAGGACAGCGGAGGCAGGAGGGGGCAGGAGCGGGCAGGAGGAAGCGGGCAGGAGGAAGCAGGCAGGAGGAAGCAGGGAGGATCAGGCAGGAGGGGGCAGGCAGGACCGGGCAGGCAGTGTGTCGGAGAGGGAGCAGGCAGGAGGGGGCACGCAGGAGGGGGCAGTCAGAAATGGGCAGGTAGGCAGGAGCAGGCAGGCAGGAGGGAGCAGGCAGGAGGGAGCAGGCAGTGTGCTGGGCAGGGAGAAGGCCAGTGAGCCCACAAGGCCATAGCACAGTGATCCCCAGCACCCCCTGAGTGCTGGCACCCAGCCTGGCCATGCCATGCAGGGCCCCACCGGTGCAGTGGCTGCCCCCATATCCCTCCTTGCCTCAGTTTCCCCACCAAGGTGTGAGGCCAGAGATCCCCTTGCCAGGCACAGCCTAATGGAATGTGCCCACTGCACGCTGGAGCCGGGCCATGCCGAGCACCCACCACTCAGCAGCACCCTGGAGGTCCCATGCCATGGCTCCTGGCCCATCCTGGTCCCCCTTAACCGGAGCCAGAGCGACCTTAACAGCAAAAGTGAGAGGCTGCCAGGCCTTATCAGAGAGTATTTACAGCCGCTGTGTTCCCAATTAGACAGTCAGGTGACTGCGGCTGCTGGAGACCCAGACACTGGGGTCAAGGTCGTTGGTGGGGGCCTGGGGGTGGCAGAGGGGCAGCCACCTCCCCGGGGACACCAGCTGCCCATGGCACGGCCAGGGAACCTGCCGGCACAGCACCCCAGCGTGGCACACTGGGTGGTAATAGGGGACCCCATCGCGGCTGCCATGGGGGTCCTGGTCCCTGCCGTTGGCACGGCCACTGCAGGGCTCCCAGTCCAGTGTCAGGGTGCTCCCAGTCCAGCCCAGTCCAGAGTACCCCAGCCCACTGTGACACTACACCTCCCACTGAGCCAGCACAGGGTGTCCCCGGTACGGAGTGCCCCCAAAACTGCAGCACTCCAGTCAAGCCCAGTACCCCATCGCAGTTCAGACCACCATGGCCGTGTCTCAGGCCAGTACGTGACATTCTGCCCAGCCACACAGGGCACCCACAGCCCCCCAGGCAGCACCCTGGGCCCCCCATTCCAAGCACAGCACCCACCGTTCCCCTGTTGGGAATCAATGGCACCAGGCCCCATTGGGTCCCATCCTGCCCCCGAGCAGGTGAGCCCTGTGCGTGGGCACAGGTGTGTGGTGCTGGCATCACATGTGCTCACACGCCAGGGAACATGGCTGGGCAGCCAGGGCCTGGCTGCACACATGTGTGCAACTGCACATGTGACCTGCACCCGCCCTGCATCCCCCTGGACCCTGGGGCAGGATCTGACCCCGGCTATTCCCCGCTGGAGGCTGTGCCCTGCTTTTTCCCAAAGCCACAAGGGGCTGGTGGTCCCACCAAACCCCTCCCCTGGGGAGCAGGGGGGTGTCACATGCCCGTCCTGTCTCAGTTTCCCCAGAGACACCCAGCATATCCCACAGGGCAGAGCCTGTGCCCACCATGATTCACAGCGCTGGCACCCCTTTGCTGGGACTGCTGGCACCACGGTGGCCTCTGTGGTGTCACTGTCTGTCCCTGGGCTCTGGCCAATGCTGGGCAAGGAGCCACCAGCCCCACACTGCCCCTGCCGTGGTGTTGATGGGAATGGGCTCACGGGGCTGGGGGGCATCACCCAGTGCTGCGGGCATGGACAGGAGATTGCTGCCAGAAGAGGACCAATGTCCTGGTCCCTGCACACCTGGGCAGCCTGGCCTGGGCATAGAGTGGCCACAACCCCTGTGACTGTCCCTTAGGGTTGCACGTTGCAGCCCCCCTGGCTCTGAACCACCCCGTGCAACAGCCCTGCCCTCACCCGCGGGGATCACACAGCATCTCCCCTGGCCCCTCACACACCCGGGGGCGTTGGGAGGGGGTCGGGGTCTGTGGGGGACCCCAGCTGCTGGCAGGGTGTCCTGCCAGCACGTCACCAGCCTGGGACAGCAAACCTGCCCAGAAAACATTTTTACTGATGAGCTTCCCCTCCCAACACGCAGGAAGATGATGTGAACTGGATGGCCCAGGGACCCAACCCAGGACCCACTCCCTGCCCTGCCCGCTGTGCCTCAGTTTCCCCCTTTTCATCAACAAGGCTTCGAGAGCAGATCTGACCCTCCCTGCTGCAGTGAAACCAGTCCAGTTCTCCCATCAAGTCTGTGGGACCCCCAGGCTGGGGAGCAGCATCCCCCTGGGACATGGCAGGAGCTGCTGGGGTTTGTCCCCACCAGTGTTATCACTGCTCCCTGCCCAGTTGGTCTTGCTGCCCTTGTCCCTGTCACTGAGAGGTCGGGATTGCAACCCACGGCAAACAGGCACTGCTGGACCCCTCCCAGCTCCAGCTCTTGGGGGATGTGCCAGGAACAGACTGTCCCTTCCCTGCCCACGCTGCCCACCTGCTCTGGCACAGGCAGCCCCTCAGGCAGGTGCAGGATGTGGGGTTAACCCTCCAAAACTCCATGCTGGGGACACCCAGAGCCAGGAGCATCCTCAGGGGCCTTTTGCCTCCTCCCACTCCTGGGCAGCTGGGATCTGTCCTGTCTGGGGGAGAGGGGCCGTGTGGGGGGCACCGACCCAAAAAGCAGTTTGGAGAGAGGGAAGAACTGCAAAGTCTGCAATGGGAAACACATCCCAGAGCAGCGTCCCCAGGCCAGAGACGGGGATGGGAAAGATGGGGAGGGAAAGCTGGAACAAACCCCGCTGGAATCAGGTGTGGCAGGGCACAGCCAGGCTCTGCCCCGCAGGTAGACGAGCACCCACCTCTCTCACGGACGAAATACGCCAGGTAGAGGTCGAGCTCCTTGACAGAGACGCTGATGTGGTGGGGCTGGACGCAGAGGATGGGGTTGGTGCACTGGCCAGACTTGACCAGGCGCTCGCCATCGGTGCTCTCCAGCGGGATCCCTTTGAAGAGGATGACCATGACCAGGTCCAGCCGCCACACCTTGTCGGCCTGGCGCAGGCAGTCGATGCGACGCATCTTGCCCTTCTGGTCGGGGTTGGAGAGGACGCAGCACGAGGGCTTCTTGCCCGTGATGGAGAGCACGAAGTCCTCGCGGCACTCGGGCCGGATGTCCTTGCGCAGCTTGGCCAGGAGGCGCGAGGCCCATTTCTGCTTCACCTCCGGCTTCTCGCTCAGCAGCTCGTCCTTCACCGCCCTCTCCTCATCCTTCGTCATCCTCTTCTCGTGCTTCTTGAAGTACTTGCGCTTGCGGGCCTGCAGGTTGAACCACGTGTAGGCAAAGGCCCTGACGTGGGGGAGCAGCGCCTCGATGAAGGGGTGGAACTCATCCTGTGGGAGCAGAGGGACAGGGGGTCACTCCTGGTTGGCCTCTCCCAACCACCCGGCATGGCTGGGGAGCCCTGGGGACCTGTCAGGCTCATCCCCACTGAGCTGCATTCCAGCACAACCAGGAGGAAAAGCTGTGGCAGAGGCACATGCCCATGAGGGATGAGGACCCCCTCACCACACAGCAGGGTTGTCCCTGTCCCAGGAGACTCCCATAAATCCCACCGCCTGCAATTCTCCCACCAACAGCCCGTGGGGGGTGGTTGGGCCATACTGGAGCTGGTGGTGCCACAGAGGGAGAGGCACCTGTACAAGGTTTGCCATCTTGGCAGCACCCGGACCCGTGCCCCTTCCCAACCCCACGTGCTGGGATCTGCTCCCCCCAGGCGCAGAAATCCCTCCTGAAATCCCACCTGACATGGTGCCCACCGGAGCCGCTGTGCCAGCGTCAGGCGCTGCCAGTCCACGACACCCCAGCGCCGGGTCCCCCACACCCCCAGCATGCCGGGAGCTCCCGCTCGAGCTCTGGGTGCCTTGGACCTCTCCACTCCCTCTGGACCAGCGGGAAACTCCCCCAGTTTGCCCCAGTTGCAGCCAGACCGGCGGCTGGCGCCCGGCCCGGCGCACAAGGCGTGCTCTGACTGCCTTTTTCCATTTGGCGAGCGCTGCTGGATGAGTCCGGCCCCGAAAAGAAAACAAGGAAAATGCATCCCCCTCCCTGGCCCCTCCTTCCCGCATCCCATTTTTTTTCTTTTTTTTTCCAGTTTGGAAAAAATCAGTGCTTCCTGGCTGGGGGGGCGCTCACAACACCCCCACAGGATGGAAAGGTGTTGGGAGCCTTCCTGGGGAGAAGCAGCACAGCTTGGAAAGCAGCAGGGAGAGGGTTGAGCATCCCCATGCGTGGCCAGGGCGGTACCAAGATGGTCCTCGAGGGCAGGATTTACCCTCGGGGTCCCTCATGATGGTGAGGAGGAGGAGGAGGAGGAGGAAGGAGCCCACCCAGGGCAGGGTGCCAGGGCTGGGCAGGTGGTGGCCGGTGACAACTGCCACTGCTGTGCCACAGCCCTGGTTAGCAGGGCCGTGCCCGGGTTTGGGTCACCCTCCCAGTGGGGAGGGTGCCAAGGGCAGGCGTTGCTCCGGGACCAGGAGGTGGCTGCGGGCAGGAGCTGGGAGAGGACAGAGCCCTGGCAGTGGGACGGGGTGAGTGCCCCGGGGCCGGTGGCTGACCCCACTAATCCCAGAGCAGTGATGCCATTTCCCGGCTGAAGCAGCCGTGTCCCAGGGCGACCCTGCCCAGAAGGAAGGGTGTCCCCTCCACGAAGCAGGCTCCCTGCAGCATTGGCCCCATACAGACCCCACTAATTCCCACTCATCTCCAAGTCCAGCACAGATCCCATTAACCCCAAACCTGCTCCCCCAGCACAAACCCTGCCAATGGCCAGCACAGTCCCGTGGCACAGCCTTGGGTGTACCCTGGACCAGCATCCCCCTCACAGACCTCACTGTGACCTGGCAAGACACACCAGCCCAGATTTCACTGTCCTCCGAACCCAGCACAGATGCCATTAACTGCCAGCACCAACCCCCAGCACAGTCCCACTAATCCCCCAAAGCACAGACTCTTCCCCCCAGCACAGACCCTGTCATACAGAGGAGCGCCAGCCCCTCTCTGGACCCAGAGCTGTGACCCCACAGGTGTCCCCCCCCATACCCCACAAGGGACAGGGGACTGTTCCCGTACCGGAGAACCTGTTGGACCCATGGAGTCCCAACCCTGCCAGCAGACCCATCCTGACCTGGGCACTCGTCCCTGCCTGGGGGACTCATCCTGCCAGGAGAACCCGTCCTTGCCCGGAGGACCCGTCCCTGCCCGGAGGACCCGTCCCCGCCGGCTGCTCCCGGGGCGGTCACAGGGTCTGGTTCCCGGTTCCCTCCCCAGCAGCAGCCGCTAATTCAGCGCAGCTGGGCAAGGGCTGGGCATGTGTCTTAAATCAGGGAAGAAGGTCAAAGAAAAGTAAGACAGGAGCCGAAAAAAGCAGCAGTGAGTTCCAAAAACAATACTTGGCCGGGGCGGTGGGCGGCTGATCTTCCTTGGTGGCCGGTTATTCAGACGAGCCCGACAAATTGCTGCCATCCCCTGGCCCCGCAACCCTCCCCAGGCAGCCGGCGGCAGGGCTGGCCACGGGGCAAGGGGGACACCACGCCATTGTCCCCATCCCTGCCCTCCCGCTGGGCAGTGCCACCCCAGGCACCGCTGCAGGGAAGCAGGGCAGGAACCAAGTTATTCGGGTTGGGCAAGGCAGCACCCTTGGGTGCTGTTTGTGCTCACTGCAGGGGCCAAAGGGTGCTCGGTGCCCTGCCTTGGGACAGCAGGGATGAGCCCTGGTCTCGGTGCCCCCCCTCGCCACGGTGCTGAGGATGTTCAGATCTCATTCGGACCCGCATCTGAGACCCCCCCAAAACCCACCGTGTGCAGAAGCCCCTCGGTGACCCTTGGTGCCCCCGAAGCCATCGCAGGCATCCCCCCCCCCGCCTTCCCCGGGATTACGGCAGGCCGGGAGCTGCACCCAAAGCCAATCAGCCCCTCGCCAACTTTCCCTCCCGCCGGGCTTATCCCGCGCCGCGATGCCGCGGTTAAGCCGCTTTAGCAGAGCAGGCGAGGGCGGCCGGGGGGCACCGGGACAGCCACACGGGACGGCTGCGGCTGGGGGATAAGGGGACACGCCAGAGGACTTGGGGGCCGTCCCCATCCCTGCATCACCGGCACTGCAGCCAGTGAGCCCCCCAGCCGGACACACCATTCTGGCTCCACTTGGGAAGGAAGGGATGCACTGTCTGTCCATCCCAGTCCCCGATTCCCACCGGGTTCCCCCCATCCAGCAGCCGGAGCTCCGGCAAAGGGCTGGTTAAGTGTTTCTCCTGCTGTTTTTCCTTTGCGGGGCTGGGAAGCAGAGACGTGCTGCAATACCCCAGACGAGGCTGCTCCCGGGGCATTTCCGGATGGGAATCTGGCAGCAGAGCCTGTGCTTGGGCCTCATCCAGCCCAGGCTTGTAAAGCCCTGCAACCCAGGCAGGAGCACGCCTGCGTCGGGCGCTGCCGGCCCCGCTCCGGGCCCCCCTGCACCCCCCTTCCAGGGGCTGCCGGAGCTCTGACTTCCCGTGCCAGGTTCTGCGAGGGGAAACCGAGGCATGGGTCAAGCGCGGCTCTGTCCTGTGGTGGAGCGGGGAGGGGAAGGAGGGATGCTCTGTGTGGAGCTGGGCATGCCATGGAGGATTAACTCCTCCGCAGCCCAGGTTTTGGCAGCGCCAGGGAGCGGGAATGGGCACAGCCGAGGCGCTGCCTCTCCCCGTGCTCCTGGCACTGGCTCGGCCAGCGCCAGGGCTCTGCACCCTGGGGACCCTCCTCCCTGGGGACGCGGGGGATGCTCTGTGCCACGCAGGGACACAGCACCGGGTTCGGTTACCACAGCATGGGTTGGCCACCCTCCGAGCATCCTCCGCTCCAGCGCCTTGTCCAAACAGGTCGGGCTCAGTGAAACAGCCTGAATTTTCCAATGAAAAAAACGTTTCCTCAGGAAATTCCCGAGCAGTTTTCACGGGGGAGAGCGGGGGGGGGGGGGGTCTGCTCCCCCCCAGCACAGCCCCGGCTGCGGGGAGGAGCGGGATGCCATCCCCACCGCGGGCAGCGAGCGACGCGGGACGACCTCGCCGCATCCCAGCCCTGCAGAGACCACACAGGGCTTATTTTATGAAAGGATGCTCAGCCTCCCCGCCAGCAGCCACACACCTCCGAACCGCTGCCGGCTCCCACGGCCGCCGCTCCTGCCAGGTCCTGCTTCCCGCGGCCCGGCGAGCCCGGGCAGGGGCTGGCAAGTCGTGTGCTGGGCGCCGTGCCCCCATGGGAAGCCTTGGCGCGGCGGCGGGGGGGGGTGGGGAGGGGGAAATGCAGCTACAGAGATTCCGGTAATCCTGAAAATCCCAAAATCTGAAAGGGGCTCAGCGGGGACTTGCTTTTCCCTCGCTGGAGCCCGTGGACGCCCTTGGCACAGACCGTGAAGCCTCCGGTAGCTGCTTATAACTGTTCTCCGAAGCGGTTCTGGGTAATAAGTTAACCTGGTAATGAGACCTGTTGCCGAGACAGATGCAAATGATTGGGAAGTGCTCATTAGAGGGGATGGAAGGAGGCACTTAGGCCCTGAAAGGCACCCAGCCCTTCCCGGGGCCGCCCTGCACCCTATTAGAGCCCATTTTACAATAATTGCTCCAGAGGAGGAAATCTATTTGGATTCATCATAAAGTATTTATTAACAAGAGCTTATTCATAATTTTTGCTGCTCGCCGGCGTGGCGGGGCCAGGCATCCCGGCCCGCTCCCCTCGGAACACGGCTTCCCTGGCCCGGGAGAGAGGCAGCACTGCACTGGGGAGGGCAGTGAGGGGGCACGGGGGCAGCTGAAGCTCCCAGGGCAGGTACGAGCTGTGCTGGCCTTGCCTGTGCACACCTGGCCCCACGGCAGAGCTGCCCGTGGGGCAGAACACGCTGTCACAGCCACGTTCCCCCCCAGCTCCTGGCTCATCCAGCTTGCAAATCCCCTCCTGCAGCCCACGCTGGGGCACAGAGACCCAGTGCCCAGGGCACCTGGCTGCCACCCCTGCACAGGTGAAGGCAGGACACAGCGCAACCTCCCCACAGCTCCTCTCCCCAGATCTTTTTGTGGCTTTTTTTGCCCGACAGAGCCAAGAGCATCCTCCAGCCAACATCCATGCATGGCTCGGGGCTGTGGGTGGGCTGGACCGTACCCACCTTGGGCTCTTGGGAGGGTGAGCAGAGATGGGGCAGAGAGGGGCTCCCACCCTTCAGTTACTGCCCTGACGCTCAGCCCCGCTCAGGACCAGCCCAGGTGGGAGTGGACGTGCTCACACAGCCCCCGGTGCTCACCACGCACTTGGGACTGCGGCGTTCCCTGCACCCCTCCCTGAGCAGCCCTGGGCTCCCCACACCTGG